TTTCTTTCTTGTATTACCTTTTTGCTTTGCCCTTCCTTTTCTCTGTTAATGTTGTCTTTTTCCTCCTTTGCCACCTCCTTGGCGCCTCAGGCCTATTCTTGACTCCCTTTTCACACACGAGCTCTCGTCCATTCCTTTTTTTCTTGCCTCTTTTCTTCTGCCTTCTTGCTGTCGTTGAGCAGGCCAGCTTCGCTACGTAACTTATACCAGAACTGATGTCATAGTATTTATCTTAATTTTAAAAACCTGGATAAACTTTTTCATTCCTTTGACTATATAAATCTCTTGTAAAACATTTAATTTGCTGTATCTATTGGATTTTTTGTAAAACTTTGTGTAAAGATTAGTGACAAAAGTATACTTTGTTTATTTACAAAAATCCAACATCTGCCTGTGAATGGCTTTATTTTTGTGAAGTTACAGCTTAAAATTGGCTTTTCAAATTCAAAGCTTTTTTCTAGAATTAGTTCAGTGAGTCGGAGCTTTCCATTCTGTTAAATATTATCAAGCTGCTGTTACACACAGAATTAGGGCAACAAATTAATATTCTGGATAAACGGGCAGCTTCTTTGCAGTATTGGTTAGAGGAAATCTTCGAAGAATAGGATGTAGAAGTGAACCTAAGCAAAGAATCATTTGTCTTGCGTGCGGATTTTCAGAGAGAAGGGAAACTGAAGTAAAGCTGACAGCTGAAACTTTATAGTGTGTTGACCTTTGTCTACCTTTTTCTGTCTGGTTTTGTTACTACCTTGCAGCAAGGGGCATAGAAGAATGATGCTGCATATCCTTTTTCCATAGACTGGATCTTTTTTATCTGCCCGTATACTGAATTTTAGGGGACAGCATGACTCATTTGCCATAACATAAATTTGTCCTGATTTTAGTCTTTAGTTATTAAACTGATAATTTCCAAAATGATATCTGGACATGGAAAGAGGCAATAATTACTGTAATGTTGCTAAGCTTAAGCATTAGTTCAGTATACAATAAATAACCTACTCTTTCACCAAGGAGGAGATACTGACTCTTTGAAGTTAGTAGTGTTGTTTGCATTGGAGGAACACTTTGACTAACAAAAAAAAAAAAAAAGGGACTATAATTGTGCACTGCAGTTTACCTGTAAAAATTAAACAGGGGCAACTTTTAAGATAATTTTATTCAAAGTCGGTTTTATTCAAAACATGAATAATGATTTAAAAAGTCTAAATGCAGAGTACAACTGTAGATTGGGTGAATGCAGGTTTCCTGGTATCTAACAAAATTTATAGACTTTCAGTTTGACTGCCATTTCACCATCACCCCCTTAACAATTCTTAAATATTAGAGTATTATGTCTAAGACTATAATGTTCAGGCACTTTAGCTTTAAGAAAGAAGAAAAGGATGTAATGGTCGGAAACACAACAGTGATAAAACATTCTTCTGTAATGAAGAGCTGTAACAAATGAACATCAAAGGTTAGGTTTCTTCATGGAAAAGGGGCACAATCAAGAATGTGAAGAGGGCAGAAGGCAGTCAAGATTTCTTAAAAACCATGCAATGCATAAAGCCAGCATTGTGTCATAAATACAGGAATAATTTTGCCAAGAAATAGAATTTCATTTTGGGAATTTTAGACCTGTAGCACAGAGGAGGAGAGTTTGGGATGCTTGTAGAACTAGATTACAGGCAAAATACGGGGTCTTTACCTACAATCCTCTGTGTATAAAAAAAGAGAAGCTTAGAAGTAGGTGTAGATCAAAAGTCAGCAGGGCCGGTCTCAGTGCCCGTGACGTGAGGGCCGCTAATCACTGGCCCTGAAATGTCTTGCTGCTTAAAACCATTGTTAAACCTGTTTGTTAGACATAAATCATTAAGGGGGTTGTGTTGTTCTTTTTCATTGTTTAGTTGGAGCCTATAAATGGGTTTGGCTTTAAAAGGCTATTCAACGAAGTATAAATTCTTGGCTTAAAAAATACACCAGCAGTTTTGGAAATGTACTTCAATAATGGCTTTGTCTGTGAGAACACTAGGAAAATATTTTTCTCCGTTGCAAAATGCTGTGCTGCTTAATAACTCCTAGCCACCATACCAGGAGCGTTAATATTGGTTCTGTTTGTTTTCTTTCTTGTATTACCTTTTTGCTTTGCCCTTCCTTTTCTCTGTTAATGTTGTCTTTTTCCTCCTTTGCCACCTCCTTGGCGCCTCAGGCCTATTCTTGACTCCCTTTTCACACACGAGCTCTCGTCCATTCCTTTTTTTCTTGCCTCTTTTCTTCTGCCTTCTTGCTGTCGTTGAGCAGGCCAGCTTCGCTACGTAACTTATACCAGAACTGATGTCATAGTATTTATCTTAATTTTAAAAACCTGGATAAACTTTTTCATTCCTTTGACTATATAAATCTCTTGTAAAACATTTAATTTGCTGTATCTATTGGATTTTTTGTAAAACTTTGTGTAAAGATTAGTGACAAAAGTATACTTTGTTTATTTACAAAAATCCAACATCTGCCTGTGAATGGCTTTATTTTTGTGAAGTTACAGCTTAAAATTGGCTTTTCAAATTCAAAGCTTTTTTCTAGAATTAGTTCAGTGAGTCGGAGCTTTCCATTCTGTTAAATATTATCAAGCTGCTGTTACACACAGAATTAGGGCAACAAATTAATATTCTGGATAAACGGGCAGCTTCTTTGCAGTATTGGTTAGAGGAAATCTTCGAAGAATAGGATGTAGAAGTGAACCTAAGCAAAGAATCATTTGTCTTGCGTGCGCTTTTCATCCTTTTTTTTTAAGCGTTTCATCAGTTTATAGGGTTTACTTTGCTATTTGAATTGATTCACAGTGGACAAATACGCTGTAAGTAAGCTGTTTTAATGACTTCATTGCTGGAATGGTGGAGGTTTCATCTTGCCATGATACAGGACAGTGTACAACGTTGCTGAGGAAGAGTTATGGGGGGACAAGCAAAACACTAGGGCAGCGTGTTACATGTGTGTTGCTCTGAGAGCTAAGATTTAAGATTAGCTAATTTCAGCAGGAGGTGTGGTGTCTTTAAGTATGTGTGCTTACATTTGGGTTTATAATTTTGATACTGTAAAGTGTGGTTTCTTTAGGTATTCCTGCATTCTGAATTTAAGTTTAAATATATATATATTTGCGTATATATATGTGGTATGTTGAAAACTTTTACAAATGCTTCATTAACAAATAATGAATATAAATAGCTGTTTTCCTAATGTTACCAGCTTCTTAGAGTTAAGCACAAACTAGTTACAAATAAAATGTCTTTTCTATTATATTCTCCTATAAAAGTGCAGTTCTACTCTTTAAAAAATAATTCTGTAAAAAGAAGAGGTGGACACATGGACAGCTCTGGCTGCTTAAACAACTTGGGATTTGTTTCCAGCCTCTCGTGCTTCCTAGGAGCACGGTGTTGAGGCTGGGTGAGCAGCTGTGTCTTAGGTGTAAGTACAGAATCTTTCAGTGGATAATTTAACGTTCAGATCCCAGGGCAAACATTATTTTAAGATAAAAAGCTTTGTCCAGGAGACAATGCTAAGAAAAAATACGGAAATTTTTAACGGCTATTTTTGAGTTCCTTTTCTTGTTTCTTTTTTTCTAGAGTAGAACCACACTTTAACCGCCATATCATGTTTAAATAACTTAAACATAACATGGCTTTGTGCCATCCAATAAAGAAGGCACTGTCTTGCTGCTACTTTCTATGAAATGATACAAAATTAAGGAGAAACTATTTGGATGGGGAGCCTTAATATGGTTAAAAAGAAATGTAATTAACCCTTTGAGTGCCTTAACGCATATCTTCTTTAATAATCGGGCGCTGGCTTGGATCTGCAGGCACTCAGCATGTCTTCTCAACAGCTGAAATACAATATTGCCTGAAGTGACAATGCCCTGGGATTTCTGAAACTTAGAACTCAAAGGGTTATTTTAGACTACTGTTTTTGGAACTTTTTTTTTTTTTAACAGGGAACAAAATGAAAAGGTCTTTGAAAAATTCTTTTGCATACTATTATTGTTATTTTTTCATGATGGATTTACCAGCTTTCAGGTGTAAAACTAATCTTCTGAGAAAACAACTGGCTGAAGAATTCTACAGAGATAAAAGAATACTTGATTACCACTGTATGTGCAAAATAAGTTGTTTTATTAAGTATGAATTTTGCACATTTGTGTTTACCTTGATGTGTGCCCTTGTAAACAAAATTTTAATAAGGCAGTGACGAAACTAGAAAAATACTGTAAACGGCAATAATATAAATATAACGAGGTCAGTGTGTTTAATTAGCTCATTACACATTAAAGATGCACAGTGCAGCAAACTGTATACTAAAGACTTTCTAAAAATGATGCAATTTAAACTTATTTAAAACCCGCATCACAAAAATGAAGCTCTCAAATTCACATGACACTCTCCCAGTCCTGGCACGTGGAGTTGAAGATAAATGCAATACTTTTTTCCCATGAGGGGAAAAAAGTAGTTGAAGCACAGACAGTGCTGAAAGCAGTGGAAATAACAGGAGCCTCATTCACAAGAAGTGAGTAAAAATTCATTAATTACATGTTTTTATTCTAAACTGTGCACCTTTAGTTGTGTAATGGTCCCTTTTACTGAAGAATGGGATATTATTTTCTACTTGCGTGTGAACTTTCTTGAAGTAACCAAGTCTTGGCATTGCCTGGTCTGGCTTTGGATGTACATTGTACTGAAACTATTGAATTCTAGACATTTCTTTTAGACATTTAACTGCGAGTTAAAATGGCTAGTAAACTGCATTCTGACTGTAGAATTTATGTACTAAATAAACTCTATGCATATTAGACCCATTTTACTTGGTCTTAAGTTTTATAATAGCGTTGGATTGGTCCTGACATGGTTTGTAGCTGCAGAGTTTAGTGACAGTGAGTGGTCTGGTTCCCCTAGAAGGATATTCCTGAAAGACAGTGCATAGACTGATACTTCCTAGTGCAGAGTGAAGGTGAAAGCAATTACCTACCACTCTAAAGCTGCAAGAATCTTTATTCCTTTTTCTGTAGCAACTGGACACACAGCTTGGCAGCTAGATGATCAGACACTGAAATGTAAGGGACAGACATGCAGACAGCAGTACCACTACAAACTTATTTTGTTTCATACTTTCTTCATAATTACAATTTGACATTCACAGAAAAATTAAATTTAAAGGAACCATTACATTAAACTGACCATTTATTGTAATTGTCGGAACAAAGCTAGAAAGCAAACTAACTTGCAGCAAAAGAACAAGAAGATTCTTCTTGTACAGCCTGTACTTCTCCAAAGCACAGTATCAGGATGTAATAGCAATCAAATGAGATCACTGTCTCACACTTAAAGCTTAAAAGTTACATAATGTTTTTTATCACCATTTTGGTGGTGGCAGAGCTGAGACAAGGACACCAAGTCATTTGCCAAGTCCACAAAATCAGTGTCAGAGAATGATCAGCGATACACAGCTTGAAGATGTTGAGTCCAGCTGATGCAGCGTATCTTTGTGATCTTCTAACTTGTCTGAAATTCTGATTATACAAAGAAAGACTATGGCTGTTCAGGATTTTCATTTCACTTGACACTGATGAACTAACGGAAGCAGTTTCCCTTCCTCATGAAGCTTCTTAGTGTCTGTAGCACCTCCAACGAAAGTCCCATTGACAAACACTCTTGGGAGCTATCCAGAAAAAGAAAATTGCATTAGTTATTGCTTGAAAAAAAGATAAAAATCTAAGGAAGCCCACATGGACTCCAGTACACACACAATAGTTATGTTCTTACACATGCATATTTAAAATTACTGTACAAATCAGACATTTCCGTAATATTTACAGAGAGGGAAAAATTTGTTTGCATACCCTTCAAAAGTGGGATAAAGTCACTGTATGGGAGATTTTAATTTATTACAATAATTGAGTCACAGGAGAGAAATAAAATTACGAAACTGCAAGGTAAGTGTTAAACACAGACAGTACAGAACCCTCTGCAGTACCATGTCTTTAATTTAGGAGCTTGTATCCCAAGCTTACTTATCTCAAAAAAAAAATGAAGAACTTGGTATGTTCATAACCTGTGGGGAACGTGTGTAGTGTAAGTTCTTACTTCGCTTGTTACCTGTAAGAAAAGATACTTACTGTTCTGGCACCTGTCATCTGGTGAAGAATGTCTTGAAATTGACTTCCATTTGTATTCATGTCCAGTTCTACAGCCGTGTAATTTACATTCATATCATCAAAAAGTTTTTTTGCCATCTTGCAGTAGTAGCATGTTGTTTTTGAGAAAATCACCACACAGTTCGCTGAAATTATCTCCTGTATGTTCAAAAGAACATTCAAGTCAGCATGCTTTAAGTCAGTGTATTTTAAAAGTATCAAACAGTCAGGAAAACAAATACAGAAGCTAAAAATCTGCTATTATGGTAACTAATACTGGGAAATTAATCTCTGCAAAATGCTTTCTGAAGTATTTTAACAGGGACAACTGAGGAGTTCCCAGCCATGCTGCTGCACTGGTTGGCTGCTTCTGAAGAGCCTGTACTTTACACTGTACTTTATTCTCAGGTTTTTAAGGTAAAGGGAAAAGCTAGTTTAGTTTCTAAGTCACAACAATCTGAAGGTGAGGAATGAACTACTCTTCTTTAAAAACAAGAGATCACACAGTGGCTTCTATCAAGGCATCTGTCAAGAAGACATCATCAGCTGTACAATGGGTGCAAAACATATCCACCCCACGTTTGTGCTGAAGACCTCTATGGTGGCCTAGCACCTCCTTTAGGGATGCATCCCATACTTTCACATGAGACAAAAAATTGCTTCCTACCTGACCACCAAGTCAGACCCTGGACCTCAAAAAGTGCAGTTGCACTTGGCCAGATCCCAAAGAGCATCTGCACCCAACTGCAGCAGGCAGCGAGGCACAACTTCAGCAGTTTGCAGAACTGCACAGAAGATAAAGTTCTCCTGCTCCACTTAAGCTTTTGAGTGAGAAGTACTGAGTAGCGTACCTGCAATCAGTTAGAACTTCACAGTACCTAACTCTCAGGAATGCTAAGATCATTATCTCATGGGAGTAAAGAAATTGAGGAGAACTGGCATTAATGGTCTCTACCAGAAGAACCGAAGCTGTGTATGACCTGAGCTTGACTCCAAAACTGAGCAGAATGATTGTGGAGCATGTGGTCTGACTGGCAGGCAGTGGTGCCAACCCTGAACCCTCTTTTGCCCTTTAGCCACAGACTCCCATGGTCTGCCAAACAAGCTGCATCTCCTCAAATTATTTAGTACAGCTTTCCCTGTCTGTGAGGCAAAGAGGATGTGCTGGTGGCAAGCAGAGTGACAGAAAGGATTCTGAGAAGATAGGAACACCTCTATTACCTTACTGTAAATTCAAGGTGATTTCAGGCTGTCGTTTACGATCAGTAAATTCACTTTAAAAAACAACTTGGTCTTTAAATATTAATTTACTTGATATCAGTCATTTTCCAAGGTTTAATCCCCAATATTGACAGCATTACTGAATTTGAGTAGAGATCTGAAAAAAATGTAAAATGGATGTAGCCTAGGACAATCAGGTTCCAGGGCTGAGGTTAAACAATCTTACCAGTATTCCTAAATAAACGTAAGAATCAGGTTCAACAAGCAGAACTATTTACAGAATTTCATTCTATAAGTCAGAACAGGTTTTAAGTAACCACGGCGTTTAGAAATGTTGAAAATATATAAGAATTGCATAAGTAACGTTACCTGTATTTGATTCACAGCAGCATCGTTAGACAATCCTACAGAAGTAGGCACGCTATTCCCCATTCTAAAACTAAAAAAAGAAATTGAAGTCAGATATTTGAGCTTTCAAACAAATAACACATTTCACAGTTCACAAATTAAAGGTTGCGTTCGTACTGCTTTATTTAAATATTTCACGTGGCTTCTCCATTATGCGTAAGTTGACTTCAGCTGCAATACCTAAGGTCATACAAGAAGGTGAAAATAAAGAGATGGATGTCACAAACTATAAGAATGACCAGAAAGGCTGACTTTACACTAGAAATACGGGGAGTTCTCCCCTCCTCCCCCTCCTCCCCAGGGATAACACACATCCAAGTGTCAAATCTGACACCGGGCTGTATTCAACACACATACTAACGGGCGGCAAGGGCCGCGCTCCTGTTTATCAATGCAGGGGGTGCCCCAGGGCTTAGCCGTGTCGTTCCGCTCCGAGGCCTGCACCTCCCGCTGCCAGCCGGGCCGGGGCCTCCCCCCTCTCCCCCACCCCCAGCACCGGCCGCGCTGCCCCCGGGAGGGCCGCTGCCCTGAGGACGCGCGTTCAAACGGCACGAAGACAGAAAGCAGGCCCTATCCCCTTGGGCTCGACCCGGGCCCCGCACCCACCGACCGCGCAGCCCCAACCCTGCCGCCGCCCGGCTCAGCGCCCTCTGCAGGGCCATGGCCGCCAAAGAGGAAGGGGCGGGACTTCGCCGCAGTCCTCACGGCGGTCCGACCCCGCTCGCAGGCCCCCGTCCCGCCCCTCGGCGGCACCGGGAGCTGCCCGCCGCACTGCCGGTGCCATGAAGCACCGCGCCGCTCCATCCCTCCGGTGAGGGCTCCGCTAACGGCGGTGTGGGAAACGAAGGCAGCCCACAGCGGGCTGCCGCGGGGAAAAAGAGCCGGGAAGAGTTCGGGGGCGGCTCCCAGGGGCGGGGACAGGCCCCGGGGGCGGGTCGGTGTCAGCAGTTGGGGCAGCGGTGTTGGCGAACTACAGTTTCGGAGGAAAAACTGTTCTGAAATTGCGCCGGAGGGGCAGTAAAGACGCTCCGGAGCGCTCCCGTCGCCGGGATGCGGGCTAGGAGCGGGGATGGCCCTCCTGGCGGGCCCGGAGCGACTTCGGGGGGTGGGGGGGAGCTCCCCCTCTTGGGGCTGCCTCCCAGGCGCTGGGGTTTCAGCCGTGCCTTTGCTGTGGTGTCAAACTGATTTAAAATCTTTTCCGTCGGCGTTTCTGTTCCCTGGTTTTCTTTACGTTTCTTTTCTGCGCTGCAGATACTCCGTCGGTCAGACACCTGCCTGTGGGACAGGAGCATCCCCAGAGAGCGCGGGGGGGGCTGAAGGAGAACGAGCCCGGTCTGGGAAGGTGCTCTTGTGTGAGCCCATGCAGGCAGGACAAAGGAACAACCACAAAACCACGGATTAAGGGCAAAGAACAATTTACTGTAAATACATCGTGGATCCCGAAACCTTTGAAGCAGCACCCGGGCAGAGGCAGGCGAGCAGAGGACGCAGGCACCGCGGGGGGAGAGGCCTTATTGGCAAGAGAGTCCTCGTTAGCAAGGGAGTGAGGGAGCGAGGGAGCTCCCACTTGCTGCTTGGGCCTGTATTTCAAGGATTCTGGCAGGCAGAGTTTTCTGCTGTGCTTTGATCTCTTCAGCAGCAGGGCAAGAATCCCAGGCGTGTTTGATAAAGTGCCCCTGAGTCCATCCCAGGCCTATGTTATCTGAATGCAGATGTTCTACTTGTTGAGCGCAGAAAACTAAGCAACAATTAGTGTGATAGATGCTTTCCAGCACCCCACACGCGAGTCACTTGAGTGTATTTACAGTCCTCCTCGCCAATCTCCCGTCAGTTTCCCACAGCGCTCGACTGATTCTCTCATACGTGGAATGTTACATGGACTCCTGGAAAATTCATTTTCTCTTCCTAAAGAATTAAATAATTTGGAGATTTTACTTGATGTGGGAGTGCTGTGGTTTTTGTGTTGTGTTTTGGTGGGTTTTATTTTTTCCATTCCTCAGAGCGTACAGTAAGAACTGTTGGGCAATATTCTCTTGCTTCACCCCCCCAGACCTGGCTCCAGAGCCCGGGTGGCTGGTGAAACACACACCCCCTGGGCAGAGCGTGCCTCTGGAGCGTGCTCTGCGTCTCCCCACGGGGATCTAGGGGGGAATTCCAGTTCCCCAGAAACCTCTCTGCCCCTCTGTGTGGAGAGGGTAAGTTTTGCGGAGTTGTGCTGGGGATCACTTGTTCAGCAGCCAGTCCTGTGCTTTTTTTTTTGAAAAAAAAGTGCAACGAGATGAACTACTGGGCACTGTCCTGGTTTTGCTCACTTTATACATAGAAATGAACGTCGTGTATTCCGATGCGGTGTATTTTGCTCCTCCTCGAACAATCTTTCCTGCTGTTGATACCGTCTTTCTGCCTGCGCTGCCCCGGGCACCATGGCTGCGCGCAGGGGCAATTAACAACCTCCTGCCTTGGACTCTTAATTGTCGGTCACCTCAGCCGCGCCGTGCTGCTCCCCGCGCCTTGGCGGCGCCGCGGCCGTTGCGCTGTGGGGCTGGCTGTGCCCGGCGGAGGCTCCGGGGAGGCAGAGAGCGGGGCCGCCGCCAGCAGCGGAGCTCCCGGAGCCATGGCCGGGACACCGGGCGCTCCCCTCACCGGCCGGGGGCGGGGCCACACCAGGGGCGGGGCCGCGTCTCTCCATGGCAACGGGTTCGGCGTCGCCCCCTGGAGGAGGAGGAGGTGGCGGCGGCGGCGTTGTTGCGGCTGCTGCTTATCAGGCGTTCACGGCGGCAGCCCCGGGCCCGTCGGCGGGGTCCTGGCGCGGCTGGCGGAGGGGCCGGGCCGGGCCGGAGGGGAGCGAAGCGAAGCGAAGCGGAGCGGGGCAGCGGTGGCGGCGGCGGCTCCGGAGCGAAGATGGCGGACGTGCTGAGCGTGCTGCGGCAGTACAACACGCAGAAGAAGGAGATCGTGGTGAAGGGGGACGAGGTGATCTTCGGCGAGTTCTCCTGGCCCAAGAACGTCAAGACCAACTATGTCATCTGGGGGTGAGTGGCGGGGCCGCGGCGGGCGGGCGGCCGCTTGCACGGGGAAGGGACGGGACGGGGCGAGGGGGGAGAGAAGTTGCCCTGAAGTTGCGGGGGAGCGGTTTCAGGGGGTCCGGCCGCCCCTCGCTTCCCGCCGCGTTGCGGGGAGTGAGGCGGGCGGCCTGGCTGCTGCCTCCGGGCAGGGCCCCAGGGGAGCGCACCGGGGCCGCGCGTCTCCTCCCCGCCTGGGCGCGGCGAGGTGCCGCCGGGTCCCGCTGGAGGAGTGGGGCGCCGGAGCCGGGGCCGCTCGGTGGCGTGCGGCTGGGCGGGCCGTGCCGTGCCTCCCTCCCCGGTGCTGCGGGGCAGGCGGGCCCGGTCGGGCCGGCAGGTCTCGCCCGTCTCTTGGGGCAGGTTCCCGGCCTGGGCCGGAGGAGCAGCGGCGCCGGGGCCAGGCCTTTCCTCGTCTCTTAGTCTCCCCTGGAGGGTGGCGGCGGGGCCGGGTCTGGCGGGCTCATAGGGTGAGATGGCAGGAGGCGGCTTCTCCAAGTTTTTCTGCGTTTTGCGTGGGAAACGGGCGTTACGCTTTTACTGTGCTGAGTTTTTTTCTGGGCTGCTTCTCGTCTTCTGGAGCTTTGTCCCGGTGTGGGAAAGTCGGGGAGGCCCAAACCGGTGCTCTCTCGGCGCTCACCTGCGAGCCTCCTTCAGCCGTGCCGGCGCTGGGCTCCTCGGCAGCCGCCTCCCAGCTGGGGCCTCTTGGCCTGGACATGGTGCATAAGTTGTTCTTGTTGTAATAAAGAAAACCGGTGTTTCTGTTGCTTAAATGATTATGTTAGGTGAAATGCTCATTTTGACAGAAACTTTTAGAAAATGAGGTTTTATTCAATATTTTAGTGTGATATGTGTTGCTTACAATGTGAGTTCTTCATTCTTCTTTCTTCTGAATGTAGCAGCTGCTTGCTTTTAATTCAATGAATCTCTTTTAAACCCGGGAGAAAAAACGGTTATTGTTAAATATCAGACAGATAACATTTTAAGCATTGGTCAAAGAGAGTATGTTATCCTGTGAAGCCTGATGGAAAAATAGAAGCACCTGCAGATTTCTCAAAAAACCCAACCAGTCACCCTTGTAGTTCACTCTATGACCAGGGATTATTTTTTATTTTTGTTTTAGTTTTCATAATTATGGTATGAACATTAGTATTGATCTGATATCCCGACTTCTAGTTTGAGAGAAAAAGGAGAGAAGCCTATTTGTTTATGTTGACTTGAAGATTTATTTATTTTTTTAAAACAGATTTTACTTTGCACTCTAGAAATGTGTTATTATCTATTTCAGGCTTTTGGAAACTCATTTGGGATTTATTTGTGCTTCCTGGCTGAGTAGGGGATACTGATGGCTAGGTTAAAGAGGAAGAAAGCTATTTGCATAAGCAGCTAAGTTTTAAAATTCTTGGAAAGTCTTAGTTCTATTTTTGCTGAGCAACTGTATAGAGAATTGTGCTGGTTTCCTTGCTACAAGTTGATGTTCTCAAGTAGTAACAAGTAATGGTTAATGAAATAGACAAGTTTCGATGCTCTTCTGCGGGGAACAGAGAAACTGACATGCTAGCCTAACTCTGCAGCTGCTTAGGAGAGCTTGAATTGGCCCAGAAATTGCTAATAAAAGACTGCAATTGGAGAGAAAAACTGCAGTAGGTACATTAAGGCAGCTTTACCTTCATGGTCAAGAAGGAACTGTGGGTGAAGTGAGGATGCTTTGCTCAGAACAGAAGCAGTAACCTTAAAATAGCTCTCTGTGTCCTCACCTCTTACGATAGATATCTTCTAGCATTTGGTGTTTTTTTTTTGTTTGAACTAAGTTTGTAAATCTTGTTTCAGATCAGTAGCTTCTGAACTTGTGGTAGGATCAGACTGCTAGCAATTTACAGTGTTTCTTATGAACCACTGTGGAACTGTACGTGACTAATCTTTAAATTGAAGACACTGTAAGAGTGAGACCAGTTCTGCAAGCCAACTTCAGTAGCTTTGACACCACAGTTTAGTACCTCCTAATTTTATAATTTACAATTACCAGACTTATGAGGAACATTTTCAAAAACTTGTAAGATTCAGAGCCTTTTATATTCAGGCCACTTGACAGGATGCAAACTATGCTTGCAGTGATCAGTTGTTACTGGCTTAGTCTTTCGAAAAGCAAGTCTTGATTTCTGCTTTGGGTGTCTATGGCATGGTTGCTGTAATTGCATCTCTACTGCCAGTCTGGAGGGACTAATGCAAGTCCAAACAGCAGAGGTGGCATTCTGTCCCTGCTAGAATTAGAAGTAAACCCGCTAGACATTTAACACTGTGGCTCCTTGAGCAGCTCGGCTGGCAGGAGTGGGCAGTGCTGCCCTGAGCTGCCTTCCCTCTGCGCTAGCACAAGTGTCAGCCAAACTGTGAATTGGATTGAGGAACTGAGCCAGGTTAAAAGT